AATTATGTCACCAGGGACATTTGCCCAATATTTAGGCACTCCGTCGTGCTTTTAGTTGTGTGGTCCATTTAACAGCTAAATATAATCCAATGGTCAAACAAAATGCTAGAATTCTTCCCTGTCCTTAACTCTCTTCTCGGGCGTGTCGATTGGCTTCAATTGTGTGATCATGAAATTTTTCCTGCTTTTGGTTCATTTGAACCCCTAAATATTTTGCGATCATCTCCAAAAGCAAGAGGTTCCTCTTTATCTCCAAATTTACACTCATCTATATGATATGTTTGTCTACGATATTTGGATATATTCGTCAACGAAATCAGCATAAAAAAACAGAAGATTGTACTAGAACTTGAATAACCTCACTTAACACACCACTCTTCTTTTCGACCATCTTCATTCTCATGATTTCGAATTACAAATCAAGAAAGCACAAAATTAAATTAAATGCTGCGCAGCGAAGTAATATTTTTTACAAATTCTGTGTTTGCGAAGTAAACATCAGTAAGAGCATGGGTTTACTCTCTTCCTTGGTTTCAGTTACAGGAAACAAACTCAAGTGTTTGGATTTGGGGAGAATTGGGAAGGAAACAGACGTTATTTAGACATTTGTTTCGGTTGTTGTTGCCATATTTTTTGCACATTTTGGAAGGTGTGTCGGTGCTGTCTTAAGCAATAAGTCAGTTGAAGGAAATTAAATAATTTAACAAGTAAAAAAGCAGTAAGTTCGGCCGGGCCGAACTTTGGAACGAATTAGGAGATTTTCAAAAAAATAAAATCCATTAACAATTTTGTTAAAATCTTAAAAATCTTAAAAATATCGAAGGTGCCGATATATATTATGGTCCTATATGGACAAATCTATGTCTGGAGGTAAAGAACTCACAAAGAACACCTTGTGTAAAAGTTCAGACAATTCCGTTGAAAATGGAAATGGAAAATCATCAAAATACCGAATATAGGGGAGAATCGTTATATGGGGGTTATACGATATCGTGGACCTATGTAGATAATTTTCGTCCCGGGGATAAAGTAATCTCAAGGAACTCCTTGTGTAGAATTTTAGACAAATCCGAAAATGTGGCTTAAATCATCAAAATACCGAATATCGGGGGGTACCGTTATACGGGGCTATACGATATCGTGGACCGATATAGCTCAACTTCGAATTTGACCTGACTGCAGACAAAAGACTGCTCTGTGCAAAATTTTAGCGTCCTATCAGGGCTAAATCGACGATGACGAACTTAATATACCCTCCATACTATGTATAATGGAGGGTATAAAAAAGCACTGCGTAAAATTACAGGTATTAGCTGAAATCTCTATCATTTTTAACAAATAAAAACTACTACAATTTTTCTTACCTTTGAAGAAACCTAGGGTCATCCGAAAAAGATTCTAAAGGGTAAACACATTGAAAAAAATGATTTTTAAGAAAAGTTATGAACTAACCCCTAAATAGCACAAAATGATGTTATCTTTATTCCATAGAATAATAGTTTTACCTTAAAATTTGTGGGAGAAACGAGGATGCGGAATTAAAATTGACCAATTTACTGAAAATAATGAAGACACCGTTAAAAACAAAGTTAATTTCGGACGGACCGAATTTTCGTGTAATACACCGTAAGACAACTTGTTTTATGGTCAAATATTCTGTTAAAATATTTAAACTACCAAAAAGAAGCTAAAATATCAGAAGATTTGGTTAAAAAATTGGACTTAAAACCGTCGAATTCCGAAAATCAGATGGTACCGTTTTAGGGTAACTATACGTAAATTTGGACCGTTGTAGCCTATTTTCATGATCTAAAATCATAAATTTATTTCCTCTCTCTCTCGTTCTCTCTCACTTGTTAATTCGACATTTAATTTTATCCTGCTCGACGATATTTTCGAGTATTGCAAAGAAAAATACAAATTTAATTTACCCTTCATCTTTTGGTGGTGATAAAAACATCACAGATTTAAAAATTGATCATAATGGAAGATTTTAGACTTGGAAATTAATTTTACGTGACTTTAAATTATTCAGGATTTTAAAAATGGCTTAAAGTTTGTGAAATAACTGGCGAACCAAATGTCGGACGTCTGACACGTCTGCTCAAAGTCGGAAGTTTTTCCGACATGCCTGGTCGACGTATGGCCGAGTCCTGCCAATTTGTGGAAGAGGGAAGAAATTACTCCAAAACATGTAAGCAAAGTCGTGCGTATGTTGGAAACCCCCTTATATCCAAATCAACTTTGGTAGATCTCGTTTCTGATACATTACCATACATTCCTGCACAAATGTTACTTTTGGTTTCTGACTGCCCCTGACCCAACAAATTTCGTTAGGATCGGACGATAATTGCGACCCAGTGTTGTAGGGTGTAAAAATTGCTTTACAAAATGAACAATTCAAAATTGTAAGTCAAACTGATCGCATGCAGTATAAACAAGTAAGCAAAGGCTATAGTCGTCAGGGGCCGATCATGTAATACACTACAATATGTTAGAAGGCAAGAGGTTCCTCTTTATCTCCAAATTTGCACTCATCTATATGATATTTTTGTCTACGATATTTGGATATATTCGTCAACGAAATTAGCATAAAAAAGCCAGAAGTTCGCCTTTTGTGTATTTCGGATATCGCCTGTAAGTAATTTTGGTAATTTCTCACACAAATGTAATTGTCCATTCTGTCCTAAACTATAACTTCAGGCGAGAGATCGTGTCCTTTGGTTTCTATTTGTAACCTTTATAACGGCTGCAAAATCAGGAACATTTTTTGTTGTTGGTCCATTTCAATTTCTAAATATATTGCGGACATCCTTGAAAACCGAGCACGTCTGAGCCATCCTTTCCTCTGTATATATATATATATATATATATATATATATATATATATTGTTTATATTTCGCAATATATATCCGGAATATACGTAACGGTCAGTATTGACCTGTTCGTCTATTTATAATTTCGCCGGGATTACAAATATTTGCGGTTTAATGGAAAATTTGACTTTTACTTAACACAAATTTTATGGTCTATTTCACCCACTGAATATTACATTGGAAGGCTTCTGCCCACGCCTAAGCTTTAGCCCCTTGCTAATTTCCGTCGATTGGTCTATAATTGCGACCTGTAGATCCACTGCAAAATCAGGAATTTGTTCAGTTTTTGGTCCATTTCAACCCCTAAATATTATGCGATCATCTCCAAAAGCAATAGGCTTCTATTCTGTTCCTATCTTCACCTACATTCTAAATTTCGTGAAGATCGGGCCATACATAGACGGACGGACGGACATACATAGCTTGATCGACTCAGCTCGGCGAGATAGGAAAATTTATATATACTTTCCTATGTGGAAAACCAATATTTCGAGGTGTTACATAATTTTTGGCATAATCAAACTTATAATACCACCAACACATAGTGTTGTAGGGTATAAAAATAAAAAGGAGAAAGTTCGAACATAGAATACCCTCCACAATCTGGAAAGAATTTTCAAAGTTCCAAAGAAATCGACTGAAAACTACTGCTAAAATCATAAAAATTTCAAACAGAGAAAGTTTCCGTTATATTGTGGTCTATACGAAGATGTGGATCTGCATAAGCCATTTTTTCACAGACTGTAGTACCCATTACAAACTTACAATGCAAAATATGAAACAATTCTGGTGGATAATGACGCAAATATCATCAAAATACAGAAAATACCGAACTGCACCTAGACCTGTATAGGCAATTTTCTACTGTGGTACCCACTGCGAACTTACAGTACGAAATTTGAAACAATTCCGGCGGATAATTTCGCTTAAATCATAAAAAATGTCCAATATCGGGGACAGTATCGGTGGTAGACGTGGTGCTGTCACAGGATGTAGTGCTCATTACGAACTGCAAATACCAAACTTGAAATAATTCCTGTGAATAATATAGCTAAAATCATCAAGATGCCGAACATAGGGAGGATCCGTTATATGGGCCTATTCGAAAAAGTGGACCTGCATAGGCAATTTTCTGCCGCAGGCTGTAGTACCCATTTCGAACTTACAATACGAAATTTGAAACGATTCCGGTAGACAATCTAGCTAAAATCTTCAAAAAACCGAATATATGTATTGAGGTACCATAATATGGGGACTATACAAATTTCCAGAATAGACTGTAGTGCCTATTAGGAACTTAGAACTTCAGATTTACAACACTTCCTTTCCACAGGAAGTGTGTGATGTAAATCATCAGAATACCGAAAATCTGGAGGTATAGTTATATGGGGAAAAAAACTTAAACTTCTCGATATTCCAAAACGTGGACCATATAGCCCATTTTCAATACAAGTCTACAAACCTAACATACATTTGAATAAAACCTACTTCACTTCGTTCTGAAGCTAGATTGATTTCTAAAGTAATTCCACACAGAATTATTCCATAATATGACAATTCATTCTGAATTAGTAAGACATTTGCATGGTCGTATTGATAATTGAATCATATCATTTTATGACAATGTCAATGGATTTGAAAATTGACAGACAGTCCTAAGATAGATTTGCACCTAACGATAATACTGCAAACTTTAGTTCATTAAAGAAAAATTTAATATTCCTTATGTGATTTTAATTTCATGATATTCTCTTTATTTCAGGATACTATTTGGCTCGGTAAAAGTGATAACAAAAAGGGAATTTAACATAACATCAAATTTCCAAAAAAATGCCAAGATAATCACTTTATATTCAACGTTTAATAGATTATGTAGCTTATAACCTCAGCAACGTCATCATTCTACACAGTGCTTGTCCAAGAGCATAGTCATCACATAACCATAGGTGTCTATTTTAATACACTTTAGGTTGCCCATATAAACGTGCAAATGATTACGGAAGAATGAGGCCAGGCAATATTTGCCCGACCTAGTCATTGGGTCGGGCAAATATTGCCTGGCCTCATTCTTAATAGGTAAAACTTATACCCTTCAGACCTCTGAAAAGTCCTTCATAGTTTAACAACAATGATGCTACTGATTGTTGTTACAGATACCGATGCTCAGAGAAGAAGACGGAAGACAAAAAAACCAACGACGCCACCATGAGTATCCACTTTTCAAGTGTCAGTGATGATGTCATGTTCCCTGGAATGGCAGCCAAGGTCTGCGGTGGGATTCGTTGTCTAACACCGTGTACGTGATATGAAATTTAATGTTTCAATTAGAGGTAAAAGTTAAGTACGTTTTGAATGGATGGCGGCAAGTAAGAGAATGGATGGCTGACTGGCTGTTGGAGTTGGAGTCTGGAGTATGGAGCTGGCTCAAGAACGCAAATTTAGTTGAGTCTTGTTGCCGCACAGCAGTACTGGTGGATGTATGTTCATGTAAGTAAAAACTTTTTCCATGTCTCATTTTCCATTCACACTTTGGGGGGAGAGGAGGAAATTTGCAACTAGTTGGTGGCTATATTATCTGCAAAAATTAAGTGTCGTTGTTGTACCTATGTCAGCACTTATCGGGGATCAGTTAAACTTTTTCCATTCAAAAGTGTTATTACTCTCCTGAATAGATACTCGAACAAACACTTGAGTATGCACGGATTTGTGGGTTCGTTGAGAAGCCACAACATTATCATCATCAGAATGATGTTTGAATAAAAAACGTGCACATGTATTAAAAGTAATCTACGGTGTGATGTTCGGATGCGATGTTTGCTTTTAATGGAGTTTGCGGTTAAACTTTGGTTAATTTTGAAGTGCTTTGCAATTTTTTACTTAATATTATTTTTTTTTATGTGGTAACATGTTTAAGTTGATTTCGTTGGGATTATTTAAAGATGTTCAATGCTGTTGGTAACACGTAAAATTTTATTTGAAATATTTAACGATTAATTCTTTATTTTCTACACCGTTTCTTAATAAGGATAGATAGTTTAACAAATAAAACAAGTAAAAAAGCAGTAAGTCCGGCCGGGCCGAACTTTGAATACCCTTCACCATTCGGAACGAATTAGAAAATTTTCAAAAAATAAAATCCATTAAAAATTCTGTTAAAATCTTTAAAATATCGAATATCGGAAGCTACCGATGTATGGAAACCTATACATACAATTACCTTTCAGGGTGCCGATATATGGGAACCTATACATACAATTACCTTTCAGGGGTTAAAGTGCTCACAAAGAACTCCTTGTGTGGATTTTCAGAAAATACCATAGAAAAATATGGCTAAAAGCATGAAAATACCGAATATCGGGGGTACCGTTATATGGGGGATATGCGATATCGTTAACCTATATTCTCTGTCAGGGGGTAAACTGCTCACAATGAACCTCTTGTGTACAATTTCAGACAATTCCGTTGAAAAATGTAACTAAAATCATTAAAATACCGAATATCGGGGGTACCGTTATATGGGGGCTAACGATATCGTGGACCCATATAGATAATTCTCTTCCAACCGATAAAGTACTCACAATGAACTCCTCGTGTGGAATTTCAGACAATCTGGCTGAAATCATCAAAATACCGAGTATCGGGGGGTACCGTTATATGGGGGCTATACGATATCGTGGACCTATATAGATAATTCTCTTCCAAGGGATAAAGGTATTCCTTGTGCGGATTTTCAGACAATTCCGTTAAAAAATGTGGGGGATATACGATATCGTATAGACAATTCTCTTTCAAGGGATAAAGTACCCACAAGGAACTCCTTGTGTGGATTATCAGACAATTCCGTCGAAAAATGTGGCTAAAATCATCAAAATATCGGGGGGTACCGTTATATGGGGGCTATACGATATCGTGGACCGATATAGCCCATCTTCGAACTTGACCTGCCTGCAGACAAAAGAGGGATCTGTGCAAAATTTTAGCTTCCTATCTTAATTGGTTTAGACTGTAGCGTGATTACAACAGACGGACAGGCGGACGGACATGGCTAAATCGTCTTAGAATTTTACGCTGATCAAGAATATATATACTTTGTTGGGTTTAAAATGATTATTTCGATGAGTTACAAACGGAATGACGAACTTAATATACCCTCCTATGTATGGTGGAGGGTATAAAAACTCTCTTTAGAACAAGGGGAATATAGGGATGTACCGTTATATGGGGCCTATACGCAAACCTGGACCAGCATATGCAATTTTCGGTACAAGCTGAAACACCATTAATGTCGCTAAAATAATCAAAATACCGAATATCTGGAGATATAGTTATATGGGGACTATACCAAACCTTAGACCTATATTTACAGTTCTATGCTAGGATGTTTCTTAAATGATGGAACATATGCTGTCAATTAGATCAAATTCGGTTTAAAATTGTGACTAACACAAAGAAACCTCAAATATGTCTGTACAGTTATATGCGGTCTCTCAGAAAACGTAAACCTATGTAGCCCATTTAATACCAGCAGTCATGCAGATCTAACACACATCTGAGCAAAATTTCATTAACCTACTTCATTTCATTCCGAAGCTAGAGCGATTTCGACTGTAGGACAGATAGACGGACGGTCATCGCTAAATCGACATAGAATTTTATGCTGACCAAGAACATATAAGCGTATATGCTCTTAAATATATGTATTCTCTTAAATCTATATATCGAGGAATTACAGACGGAATAACACCATGCTATGGTAGAGTGTATAAAAATGGGACTCATTGCAGTAACGGTTTTTAACCCCACACATTTCATACCCTATACCACATAGTGGAAAGGGTATTATGTCTTTGTACATTTGTTTGTAACGTGGTGAAGGAAGCGATATAGACCCAAGGCTACTCTTGGCGATTTTCATAAAATCACTTTCTGTGTCGATTTATGCATGCCAGTCCGTCTGTCAGTCCGTCCGCCTGTCCATGTATATTTGTGAACAAAATACAGGTTGATGAAATTTTCGAAACAATATTTTTTTGGCCTAAGGACGAACCCTATTGAAATTGGTGAGAATCGGTTCAAATTTAAATAGCGCCCATACATATCTTCAACAGATTTCGTGTTAATTTCGCACCAAATGGCCAATATCAGTCTAAATTGCCTGAGTTTTGACACATCTAACCTATCTAGTCTAGAAGCATCCGTTTTGAGGATAGATGACATGACATTTGGTATCAAATAACTTATGGAGCTCAATACCTCATATTAGGATATAGCTTCCATATATATCTTTATTCAATATCAGGTTTTTTGTGCACCAAATGGCTAATATCGGCCCAAATGGACCGAATTTTGGTAATGATTTCATCCTACAAACAATACTTCAAATTTTGGTGAAAATCATTTCAGATATAGCTATATGTTTCATCCGATTTGGTGTTAGAGTTCCTCACATGCGTAATATGCAGTCCACAGCAATGGTATTTGATACCAATGGTGCTTTGATACTGCTCGAAAATACCTCTGGCAATTTTTATCGAGATGGGTTCAGATTTTTATATATATTTGATTGATATACATTTTCATCCGATTTAACGGTTGTTGCTCACCATACATGTAATATCAGCCCCAATTTAAATAGATTTGTTCATATTCAACCTAATTTTACCAGGTGAAACTCTGTCTGGTATATCTATTGCAGGTGTAGGCTATCATATAGTCAATCCCGCCCGACTTTTGACCTTTCCTTATTGTTTATCTACAATCAACAATAGCTTGTATGCATCAAACATACAACAAAATATTTACATTTATCCTAAGCTTAAACCATTTTGAAATATAGACTTACCTATGGAGTCTATATTTCAAAACAGTTTTAGCATATAATAATATAGGTTGAGGGAATATGAAGACTGTAAACATATAGTTTCCGACTTATTTTCTTACCATTTACTATTTTATACAATTCACACTATTTTGCTTGTTTCCGAATCCCGGTAATTTTAAATTTTTTTTTTAAATTACTTTATATTTTTTTGTATAATTTTCTTGACGAGTAAATCCGTAAATCCTTAAATAACAATAGTTAAATTTTGTGTATATCACAACTGAATTATGTCTTAAATTTATTTCGTAATTCAAATTATGTAATTTGCTATATTCTAAACCATATATATATGTATATATTAAAGTCCTGCACGGCATACAACTTTAATGCTGCCATCAGTTATTAATCATCACAAGCAATTGTATGTCACTCTGGCTTAAATTCCTCAGACATACACTACGGAATACAGAAATACAATTTCCTTCTCTGGAATTTTTGGCAAATTACATTTGAAGGTATTTACTCTGTATGACGTGGATAGACAACAACAGTTAAATGTACAGAAAATCATTCAAAGTGATTGATGAACCTTTTTAGAGTCGAAATAGAGCAAATGGTTGACTTGTGAGATATGTATGTGTACATTATAACGGAAGAATGTTTATTTTGAGAATTGTTTGTACTGCTATCATAGAATGTGAGCTGTTTTTAATGTGTACAAATATATCCTAGTCCCCTGACAGAGGAATATTTAGGTGTCTAGACTGAAGCCGGGATATATAAATATTTCACTTGCAAATTTAAATAAATGTACAAAAAAATATAAATACTTGGGAAAACTTAGAACTGAGCATTATTTTGCAAGTTTTGAAACATTTGTTACCTATTTGGCCTCACTATGTTGTGAGGTTATTATAAGTTTGATTGGCTCAAAAAGTTTGTAACGTCTCCAAATATTGGTCCTTGACACACTATATAGCATATCAATTAATATAGCTACGTCAATCCAAATATATATGCCCATTCATGTATCCATCTGTGGAAATCACTCTAGCTTCAAAACGAAATAAGTAAGTTGACAAAATCTAACTCAGATGTGTGTCAGGTCTGCTCGATTTTTATACCCTACAACACTATGTGTTGGGGGTATTATAAGTTTGATTGGGCCAACAATTAGGTAACACCTCGAAATATTGGTTTCCCATAAAGGAAAGTATATATGGATCTTCCTATATCGGCGAGCTGAGTCAAACTAGCTATGTATGTCCATCCGTCCGTCTGTCCATGTTAATTTGTAATCACTCTACAGGTCACAATTATGGCCCGATCTTCACGAAATTTAGAATAGAGGTGGGGTTAGGGCCAGAAAAGAACCCTATTGCAATTATCGTCCGATCCTCACGAAAATTTTCACAAGGCTACGGTTAGGCTCAGAAAGGCTAGGTCTATTGTATTCAAAGATGTCCGCAGTTTATTTAGGGGTTGAAATGGACCAACAACTAAAAATGTTCCTGATTTTGCAGCTGCTATAAAGGTCACAAATAAAAACCAAATGACACGAAAGTTACAGTTTTTCCAGATCACACAATTAAAATCAATCGACACGGATTTTTGCACGAGAAGAGAGTTAAGACCAGGGAAGAAGTCCTGGATGACCATTGAATTA